GCCCCCTAGGCGCGGGGACCTCGTAGGAGGTTCGGCCCCAGGCCCTGTAAAGTCGGTTTACTGACGATAGTTGAACGTGACAACGTCATAAGAAAATACTGATGGAATGGTTTCATTTTCAATTATCGCAATTATCGTTGTTATAAACAATTGACACCACATTCACTTTTCAATACATGTAAATGTATTATTGTATTACATAGCAGTTGTCCACGCGGATGCATTGCTCACTCAAGTAGGAGAGAGACAGATGTCGAACGCTGCCGAACGCGGAGGCGGATTGTGCCTCTTTGTCGCTCGTTGCGCGCTCTCGCTTGCACTTCAAGCCTTAAATGGAACGCCTTAGAGCGAGGTAACGCCGCATGAGTCATGTTTTTTCGTGCGTGCAGCCGGCTCCATCGGATTATAAGACGTTGTCACGTCAAAAAGCTTTATACATTCGATTTCGACGAAATCCATTAAATTTCTATAACACGTTGCATCTCAACGACGCGACGCTACGAATTGAACCGGCTAATGACGTTAAACAAATTGTGGCCGGATCCCGTAAAATTAAACAACCCTCCCGACCTAGAAACGAGCTGCATTAAGTAAATTTTACGACTGAAAAACTTGTATTTAAGTGTTGACGAGAGCAATGTTACTTACTTTTTACCCTTTCAGAGCCTTACCTTGTTACGGCACCTGCGTTACTTGAATTATGTAAATATACCTTAATTCGAGTTCCCTCGTAACTTTTTTACGTTTACGCTTGGTTAAGAGAGATTTTCGTCCGCCCAGAGTTTTCGATGCGACTCGTAAAGGGATCGGTTGATTGGCGTATCATGGATTTGTGAGACTGGTTTTGTTACGATGTGAGAAGATAGTATTTTTATTAGTGGCTTTCCGGAGTCCTCATTTTCTGAGTAGGATTTGTTTCGTTGGCCTAGATTTACCTGTTGTAGAGTAACTATAAAACAGTGGCTTACAGAAAACGTAAAACTTAAGCATTTTAAATTTCAAGAAAGAAGAAGATGGTTAGCGCTTGTCTAACTCCTAAGATCCTATAGTCGTGAAGATGAATCCTTAAGTCAATCAAATTACCAAACTTCAAGATAACATTAGTTCTTCCTGTGTAAAATAAAACGTAAAGATCAAGAATATTATTATAGAAAAATAGACGGTAGCTAACACAATATTCAAATATTGACGAATAACACCTTAGTCATCCGTGACCACAAGAGGTCCTATCACCAGTACACAAGAGTTCCTACCACCAGTATAACCGCTCGAAGTTACTATGTATAATAGGTAGGCAAAAAAAGTTAAAATGTTACATAGGTATTTATATAAATGTGATATATAAGTATAAATTGTTTATTAATTTTTTTTATGTGTAAAGAAGCCATTTTATTATTGACTTATTTCTATAAATACATTATTTTTTCAATCGATGAGTACACCACACCGCGGTTAATTTGTTTCTTAAGATGATTCTAATCCAGTTCTAGTTCAGCTTTATGGTTTCCGCTCATTGTATTTCTGTATTTAATATTTAGCATCTGTGCTTAGTTTGTATTGATGTAAAATAAAGCTCTTTATCGAAATAAAATTAACACAATATCTGTATAACGGCCGTCTGGTGTAGTGGTAAGTGACATGGTCACTACACAAGGGGGTCGCGGGTTCGAATCCCGCCAAGGGAGGATATTTGTATGCTAAATATAAAAATATATTTTCCAGGGTTATGGATGTATATTTAATATATATATGTGTGTATAATAAAAATATTACATTTATTTCCGTTATCTGGTACCTGTAACACAAGTTCTTTACGAACTTACCACGGGACCAGTTAAGGTGGCGTGATTGTTAGTAAATATTTATTTATTTATTTATATATTTTAAAGCCTTAACAATCTGTGCAAACAAAAAATATTCTTCATAGATGAAATAATTATTTGTTTTGAATCGTGCTATAGTTTTACTTGGTTTAGTATCAAAATGCATTTCTAAATGAGTATCGAAGTTTCTGTGACGAATTTGAGGGGACCACCAGTAAATGAATAAAAGGTAATTTACCGTGTAATGAGCCATCGTACAAAACAAACATATTATTTCTTAGTAAAATATATTTAGCAAGTATCAGTGACCACAGTGACCGTTCCAATATGCACAAATACTGCTGATTATATATGAGCTGTGATACAGTGGGAGGAGGAAAATAAACATGCAACGCTTCTGATAAATATTTTTATATTTTTTTACTAGCGACCCGCCCTCGCTTCGCTTCGGAAACATTAAATTTTATTATTGATAGCTGAGTCCCGCGATGTAACCCGCGGTTATTGTCGTACCGCGGGTGTCATCGCGAGGCGAAGCTAGTCTAAGAAAAGCCTAAGTTACTCCTTATATCATCAGCTACCTATCAGTGAAAGTCACGTCAAAATCGGTCCAGCCGTTCCAGAGATTCGCCGGAACAAACAGACAGACAGACAAAAATTGTAAAAAATGTTATTTTGGTGTATGTACCGTATATATATGTTCATATGCATGTAGTAAAAAGCGACTGTTTCAATATTACAAACAGACACACCAATTTTATTTATACCTAGTCAGGTCATAAGTATTGTCACACAGTAAAAATTTTTCTTTTAGAATGCTGGCCACAAAAAAGTTTATTGAATTCGAATTTCGAATTGTTCATGAAAATAAAAATGTATACTTTTAGAATTTTACTCATTTTTAAATATAGAGTGGACGCTTAAAGAAGACCGTGTTGCAGTTATTGCGTTGCATCGTTGCGGTTACGCGCCAATTCAAATTTTTAACATACTGAAAAATTTGAATATAACCAAAAGATTCGTTTATCGTACCATCAAACGATACAATGAAGACTCTAGTGTAGATGACAGGTCAAGAAGTGGTCGCCCTCGGTCTGTTAGGACTCCAGCAGTGATAAAAGCTGTGAAGGCGCGAATTCAAAGAAATCCCAAACGTAAGCAGAAACTGTTGGCCCTTCAGATGGGGTTAAGCAGAACCACGGTGAAAAGGGTGTTAAATGAAGACTTAGGGCTTCGGGCATATCGAAGAAAAACAGGACATCGTTTGAATGCTCGTCTAATGGACCTGAGACTGAAGAGATGCCGCGCTTTGTTGAAGCGGTACGCGGGAAAAAAATATCGGGAAATTCTTTTTTCGGATGAAAAAATTTTTACCGTAGAAGAGAGCTACAACAAACAAAATGATAAGGTGTACGCACACAGTAGTGAAGAAGCGAGCAACCGTATTCCGCGTGTCCAACGAGGTCATTTTCCATCCTCGCTCATGGTATGGTTGGGAGTTTCTTATTGGGGCTTAACAGAGGTACATTTTTGTGAGAAAGGTGTAAAAACGAATGCAGTTGTGTATCAAAATACAGTCCTGACGAACCTTGTGGAACCTGTTTCTCATACCATGTTCAATAACAGGCACTGGGTATTCCAACAAGATTCGGCGCCAGCTCATAGAGCGAAGAGCACACAAGACTGGCTGGCGGCGCGTGAAATCGACTTCATCCGGCACGAAGACTGGCCCTCCTCCAGTCCAGATTTGAATCCGTTAGATTACAAGATATGGCAACACTTGGAGGAAAAGGCGTGCTCAAAGCCTCATCCCAATTTGGAGTCACTCAAGACATCCTTGATTAAGGCAGCCGCCGATATTGACATGGACCTCGTTCGTGCTGCGATAGACGACTGGCCGCGCAGATTGAAGGCCTGTATTCAAAATCACGGAGGTCATTTTGAATAAACTTTAGTGTCATAAGAATCTATGTTTTGTTAAGTTCATTTTGGTATATGAATGGTTACATAATGAGTAACTTGTTTCAATTATTTTACATTAAACATGTGACAGAATTTATGACCTGACTAGGTATGTATAGATTGTTTTGAGGCGTGGGCATACTCCCACGGAATAAAGTTATTAACGGAGCTCATAGACATCAACAACGATAATGCCACCACCCACCTCGATACATGAATGCTAAGTCTTAGCTTTACAGTACAGGGACTACCACATCTTTTTAGAATGGAGGTACCTATCCGTTTGGACTCACAAGACTATATTAGTACCCTACTTTCAAATAATATCGAATAGATAAAAACTGTTTGGTACAGTTATAGTGATATTTTATTAATATCATTAAAATTTATGTTTTATCAACGTCTAAGTTTGGTACCAATTACCAATATCTTCGTGTATCTTTATACATTTACAGCTCTAGAGAAATAAGTTCTCGAGAACAATAAAACTATGATCTATTTTGAAATAATGCCGTTTTAAATCAATGCCGTTGTAACTATATTGAGACCTTAGAACTAATATCTCAAGGTAGGTGGCGCATTTACGTTGTAGATGTCTATGGGCTCCAGTAACCACTTAGCACCAGATAGGCTGTGAGCTCGTCCACCCATATAAGCAATAAAAAAATATATAGGTCAAATTGTCACAGTCTAATATTTATCTTGATTTACACAATCTAGCTAGCTCATCTAATCTAGCTAGTAATCTAGGTAGCTAATATCTGAAGGGAAAATTCCCTGTTAGAATTTTAAATACTCTTCTATTTAATTTTAAAGAAACCTAATTAAACTTTCAAAAATTATGTTAAGTACTAAAAAAGTGAATCGTCGTGAAATAAGTCTTATTTGGAATTAAGTAATTATCTATTATATTAGTTTAATAATTTCTTTATAATCCCCCGATACGTATACGTCAGCACACTCAATGTGCCAAAGACCTAACCTTATCGGTCGTACAAACTTCAACTTGCGTACAATAATTGATAAGATCGCTCTTATGAAGTAGGAGATAAGGGTGAAAATATACTTTTTTCATCTGCGTGTTGTTTGCTGCAGATGATTCGATCTCTCGGATTTAACTAATTACTAATAACCTAGGGATCTTTTAATATGTACATAAGATATATAAGACGAATTAATCTGTAAGATGTCATTGTTAGTTTGAGCTGTGTACGAGTGAACATGAAGGGGATTTGCTTAATTTTCACCCTGATTCTAATACACGTGGCTTCGACCTGGGCTTCACTAGATGCAGTTGATGGTAAGTTTATATTTTGTACTCTACGTAGGAAAGTACAGCGTTTTCACTTGTGGTAGGATGTGTTGTAAGTTCGCAAGGGTAGGTAGCACCACCCCGCCTATTCCTACCATAATGCGTTTCGGTTTGAAAGGTGGGGCAGCCGTTGTACTGTAAAAATTGAGATCTTAGAACTCATGTCTCAAGATGGATGATTGCGTTTACGTTGCTGATGTCTATGGGCTTCGGCAACCATTTAAAACCATGTGGGCCGTGAGCTCGTCCACTCATCTAAATAATAAAAAAAAGGATCACCACTCTGCCTATTTCTGTCTCGAAGGAATCATACAAACATAATTGAGACTTTTATCTCATCTGTTAAAGTTGCTTTTACATTGTTCAGTCTATGAGCTCTTGTGATCATTAATTTTGAAAAGATAGGTAGATTAGAGTTCGTCAAGCATGTTCTATTTAAAAAAAAAATCAAATATATATTAGATATGATGTTCTGCCCTTGAAACCGACCCGAACTAGTTAGACTTTGCATTAGAAATAGGTAAGTACATGTTTTAACACCAAAACACAAAAAGATGCCTGTTTTTTTTGTGGATCAAAATTTCACTATGCGTTTTTCAACTTGAATTGCATTTTAATAAATTTTGCGGAATCAAAATTCGAGATTATTTTATTTTAGAAGTTCGAGTTATGAACGTGGAATCCCAAAGGATATTTCGATCCAGGAGGGCCTTACCATGTGCGAAGAAGAGCTGTGACAGCTGGTGCCGGAGATTGGATCATCCAGGCGGAGAATGTGTAACAAAGTGGAAATGCTCCTGTAATTGGATGCAGATTGACAAATAATAATATTTCTCTATCTCTCATCAGAACAATACTGTTGGTTATTACTTAAAATGTTTATCTTTTTAATTTGGGTTTTTTTTTTCCTATATATGCTATGCTGCTTTCTATGCTGATAGCCTTGAGAGGCTATATCAGCATTGCCCAAGGGTGTAGTGAGCTCTCGGGGCTCAAACCGGAGGTATTGCTAACACTGGCCCTAGCAAGAGCAGTGCTTCGCTGAATCTACTACCGGATCGGAAACGCGATCCACTGAGAAGATCCGGCGAGAAACTCAGTGGGTTATAATAATATTTGCTGGTGGTAGGACCTCTTGTGAGTCCGCACGGGTTAGTACCACCGCCCTGCCTATTTTTGCCGTGAAGCAGTAATGCGTTTTGGTTTGAAGGGTAGGGCAGCCGTTGTAACTATACTGAGATCTTAGAACTTATATCTCAAGGTGGGTGGCGCATTTACGTTGTAGATGTCTAGAACCAGGTGAGCTGTGAGCTCGTCCCATCCAAGTAATAAAAAAAAATATTAATCAACGGACACGTGGAATATGAGCATTGAGCGATTTTATCGCTGAAAGCTTCTTTTTGATCAACGAAACCGGTAACCTTGACGGCAAATGGTATCAGGATTTCTTATACCGCCATGCTCCCGAAGGACCTCCCCTGTCTATACGTGTGTGTATACTTTTATGTGTGCCTTGTATGTATCTGCGATTTTTTTAATTGCCTTTGTAGGCAGACGAGCGTACGGCCCACCTGATGGTAAGTGGTCACCGTCACTCATGGACGTCAGCGATGCCAGGGGCAGAGCCAAGCCGCTGCGTACCAAACGCTGCGTGTCTTTCTATTCGACTATACTTGAAGGGTTGTTGGTTTCATTTATTTATTCCAACTCCATATTTATTTTTCGGTTTTTCACGTCTGCCGTCTTGTGATTGCCAGTTTATTCAAAAAAGCAAAATTTACTAGAAAGAAAAGAAACAGGGAATAAGAGTCCGCTGACGGAGGGGTACTTTAAAAAAAAATCGTGTATCGGCTTATTTCGATGAAGAAAAAACGTCTAATCATTATGTTAAAGGCGCGTTCCTGGTGGGTGAATAAAGATGACCGTTACCTCTAAATATATTTATACAAATCCACAAGTCTGTTTCTTGTATACATTTAGTTGATATTTTACAGTTCGAAATGATAAAACGTTTAAGGTTAATATTGATAGTTTATTTTTTAAACTATCGGTCCAGAGAGAAACGTACCTTTAGTTTTATGTCTCATATGTGTATAATCTATGGTTTTATACAGTAGCATTAATGCGACATGTTTTGTAAAATTTACAACTGACATTGGCACATTTTGCTCAAATGTTTTCGTGTATGACCGATAGATGGCGGTGTGTTCATAAATTAAAGAAACTGACTAAACTTACTCTAGTAAATAATATAATATTATGTACTCGATACATACGTGTTGTTAGTTTCGTAAATCCTGTGATCGTTTTCATAAATGCAATAAAATAAAGCCGAAAATTGGTTCAATATCTCACTCATCTCAGGCACCGGCCTATAGGTATAAAGAGGCAACGTTGTTAATTCAGTGGAAACATTAAAACAAACTGCCGACATATTCCGCTGACTGCCTACAAAGTTAGACACTGACTCGTACTGAAGTTACGACCGCAGTTTTGATTTACGTTGCGCGCTAAACAATACGTATGTACAGAGTATATACGTGTTGTTATAATCGTGTTATATTTAAAGTTTTTATTGAATTTGTGTGTAAATTGGGTGATTAAAAACCTGAATCTTCGAATCGTATTTATTCTATTAAATTTTTATATTTTTGTTGCTATATTTCGTAACGCGACTCGCGGTACTGGTTGACTCTTCGATCAATAATTGGTCGAAGGGTTGACTAATAAAAATCGTTACGCAAATAAAAAAACGTTACGTTCCGTTCACATGTCATTCACTCCCTGTCTCTTTCTATTATCCAAGTGTCTGCGCGGATCGAGATTCGAATAGACGAGATTTATCCGCGGCCGGTCATATCACTTTAATATTTTATATTTATAATTCATTACACGATTTTAGACGAAATTATTAACAAACCAATTTGTAAATGCAATTTTGACTTAGCTCACATATTTTTTTAGGCAGACGATTTCATATTACTCGTCCAATATATTTTCCTACCGTTCCTAACTACCTTTCCTACGCCCTAATTTTAACTTTGTACATAATAATAATAATAAAGCTTTTTAAATTCCATTCAAAAATAATTAATAGTTAAATACAATATTTTCACAAGTAGATAAAAATATAACATAATTGATAACATAATTAGAATAGTACATGATTAATTGATTAAAATTATTTTCTTATATTAAATATAAATTATTACTTGATAAATTTACATTATTTTGTACGGACCCCCTTCCGGTCAAAGCCTCTTCCGAGGTACACCACTTCTTTCTATCCTCGGCGGTGTTCAGCCAAGGATAGAACCTGCCACTGACACGTACACTTATTCTTGGATAAATAGCCCTATAGATTACATATCGGCGCTTGAAAGGCAAACGTGACTAAGCGACAATGCGTGAACTTTACAGTAGACTAATTTAAAGTTGAAGTACTTGAAAAAAAAAAAAATATTTTAACGTATCTAGCTGTAGGATCGAAATGATTTTAATAGACCTAGAAAAAAATTTTTTTGTGCGTCGAATATGGTTATTGCCTATCATTTATGTATAAAGCAGTTATTGTCGTTTAGTCACGTTTGCCTTTCAAGCGTCGATATGTAACATTCATTTCAAAAGAAAAAAGCCAAAAATTAAAATGAGCATTAAATTTAGTCGTATTATATTCATAAATATACAACTGCAAATTATTATAAAAATTTGATGCAAACGGAACATCTTAACCCCGGCCAGATACGCCCTTTTAAATATAAATATCTATATTCCTTTAAGTAATTGGCAAAGACGTCGATACAAAGCTTTCTCTCGTTATTGCGCGAAATACCACACTAACCTTGTTAGTTGGGATTCTGATATTGAGTGCTCGGGATAGGCAACCGTTACTAAAACACTGTAAATTCGAAGCTTTCACGGTGGCGGAGTGCTTCGTCTGTGGAATATTAGCGTTTACAAATATGTACTACAATCCTAATTAAAATCGATATAATGTGTGCTAAGTTCTCGTTGGTTAGCCTAGGAACATTATGCTATATTTTGATATTAAACAATCCAGATCTATAGCGAGTACACTTAGATATTTCGATAATCGATTTGTCGCTAGTTATATTTGTAGAAAGTTATAATTCAGTTAATAAAGGTAAAAAAAAGTACAAAAACAAAAGGTACTTCTACTAAACTATTAATCAGTCAGTATAACAAGTCGATACACGTCACACAACTTACACAATACCTTGAAAGTTTCAAATAAGAATATTTGTTAATTGATAGAGTTCGATTTTTAGAGAACGTTGACAAACAGAATCAGTTTCCGTTTATATCGATCCATGGAAAATCGATATCGACTACATTTGAAGTCGTCGTGACCTAAAGGATAAGACGTCTGGTGCATTCGTATCTAGCGGTGCACCGGTGTTCGAGTCCCGCAGGCGGCTACCAATTTTTCCAATGAAATACGTACTCAACAAATGTTCAGATTGACTTCCACGGTGAAGGAATAACATCGTGTAATAAAAATCAAACCCGCAAAATTATAATTTGCGTAATTACTAGTGGCAGGACCTCTTGTGAGTCTGGACGGGAAGGTACCACCGCCTTGCCTATTTCTGCCGTGAAGCAGTGATGCGTTTCGGTTTGAAGGGTGGGGCAGCCGTTGTAACTATAATGAGGTCTTAGAACTTATATCTCAAAGTGGGTGGCGCATTTACGTTATAGATGTCTATGGGCTCCAGTAACCACTTAACATCAGGTAGGCTGTGAGCTCGGCCACCCATCTAAGCAATAAAAAAATAAAAAATAAAAATAAAACTTGATCTGAATTAAAGAAATTAAAAAAAGTGTTATTAATTAATCTAATATCAAAATAAACGCATTAATTTATTTTCGTAAAGTTAAAAAATTCTCTACCTATTTATCTTTCAGACTACAGAGGTCCAATGCTGGACATAGACCTCCTCCAAGCTTCGCCACAACAAAAACAACGCCACAAAAAATTCTCAATCTTCTTAAATTAAATGAACTGAAGCCGTTGGCCTAATTACCTTTGACTGTCCACATAAAGCCGCCCATAAAGATTGACATCAACATTACACATTGGTATTCATAGCTTCAGCCAGAGCGACCCTGTTTTGCGACTTCAAAGTGAACTTCATTTTGAGCCAAACTATTTCATCACAAAAACCAACCAACCATTTATATAGCGAACATCGGATCATACAACAATGTATTTAATATGTGACGTGGTTATAAAAACAATGAAGGTGTTTAGACTGGGCATGCTGTTCAACAATAATGTCTTTTAGATTAATTGATACCTTTAATTTAACAAAAAAATCGGTCCGGTGTTTATAAGTAGAGCATTCGTTTTTTTTACCTATGCTGATAGCCTTGAGAGGCTATTTGGCTATTTCAGCTTTACCCTTTACCTAGTTTGTAGGTGAGCTCGCGGGGCTCAACCGGAGAGTTGCTAACACTGACCCTAGCAAGAGCAGTGCTTCGCAGAATCTACCACCGGATCGGAAACGCGACCCACTGAGAAGATCCGGCGAGAAACTCAGTGGGCTAAAAAGGAGAAGACGTGCATAATGAGCCGTAATCGGATTTGCAATTAAGGACGAACAAATTTGTAATTAACGTTATTATTATTAAATTTATTTTAGAAACAAAACCATATTATGGTGTACATAGGATCATTGAAATACATTTAAAATTATCAAAACAAATAAAGATTATATGATTAAAAATATAAATTATTAAAATATAATATGTTATTAGCTACTCATTCAATTGTTCCACTTTTATTACTTAGATGGGAGGACGACGGTCCACCTGGTGTTAAATGGTTGGCCGGACT